AGCTGCAGCAGAGGATGCTTTGTGTACCATAAATCACTCAACAAGTGGTCCTGTCTTGGCAGCGAAATTCCTGTGCTGCTCCACTTGACACTTCCAGCCAAAGCTAGTCCACGCTTGATCATTTACTCCTTCACCTGTTACAAGCTGCTGGCATTGCTAGAAATAATAATTTTTTAGTTTTTTAAAAATTATTTTTAATATTAGTATATTAAAATAATTTAAAAACATTAAAAGAATATTAATTTAAATAACAATAATAAAATTTATTTTTTTAAAAAAATACTTTTAAAATACAAAACTGTACAGCGCGGAAATACTCACCAAACCACACGGACTGAACAGCAATGATTCTAACATTTTTTAAGGTGCCACACATGCATGACTTAGATTATGTGAGTAATCAGTTGTTATACCTTAATGTCCCAACAAGGATGACTGGATTCTGTGGATTTCTAATGGTTTTTTTATTTGTTTTCCATGTACACTCTCTAGTTCTTAATCAAATATTCTATTGCTAGCAAACACTCCACGGGTATTCGCACTTGAAAGATATGTCATCAGATTTTATGCAAACTTCCACTTCCACATGGACTTGGCGGTGGTCTTACCAAGGATTCTTTCAGCATGATATTTGCATCAGTAATAATACTCCTAAAATATTACAATTTAGGGTTCATCAAGTGTACTCATTAGACTAAACAATGCACCCATCTCCTCGGTACTTGTCCTAACTCTCAGCCAAAGCTGCTTGAGTCCAAGAATGCCCATTCATGGAGGGATCAGCCTCTGCTAATCAACAATTTGTTATGTGGAGGGAAGACTTGAAATTAATATCTTCTGGGGGAAGGGATATGAGTGCCGTTAAGCCTTAAAGTTCTTTGGCTAACTAACAATCTGATGAACTAACTCCAGATTGTTCTTCGTTCGTAGATATGGACGCCCTTTTTCAGCCAGTCTTGTACCCGAAGATCCGTTTTTCTTCAAGTCTAATCCGCTAAAAAATGCCGAGAGCTACTTTCGCTATTCAAGGGATTTGTTTTGACAACGTCTCTAAAGATATTATAGATTTTGCGGTTAAGATTTTAAAAAATAATTTTTATTATAATTTTAAAAAATAAGTTTTAAAAAATATGTTTGACCAAAATTATGAGAAGGTTTTTTGCATGTAAAATAAATAAAAAAAAGGTTATTCTCAACCAATAAGTATTTGACACACTCATATTAAAATTACCTAATTCACAAAGTTTTTATGCTAATAACTTCTTTCGAATTTAAACAAAAAAATAAGACGATTTATATGATTTTTTAAAATGAAAATTAGTATTCAAATAATAAAGCACATATATTTTATCCCTTCTCAAAAGATAAAATTCCAAAAATCTAAAAGCTCGTAACCCATCAACTGCGGTCACCTAACGAAAGATTTACCTCACCAAGAGGAATAAAAACGCACTATTATATATATTAAGAAAAAAGGCACCAAGTTTGGCCATAAAGAGATAGCACCAATCCGCTTTCTTCCATCACCGTCTTCTTTCTTTCTCCTGCAGAAACACATCCAAACCCAAAAACCTACAAAACCCACCTCTACATTATCATCTTCGTACCCAATTCACTATTTTTTCCCTTACTTATTCATCAAAGACTCAAACTTTCCTTCAACGTTTTGTAACTTAAGCAAACTCACTGAAGATTGAAACTTTCCTTCACTTTCCAACCGAAGACTCGAACTTTCTTTCAAAATCTTCGCTTAGAAACGAATAAACAAAAAAACCCACCAAAATGGACAAGCCATTGAATGCTAACAGGTTGAGAACCCATTTTTCACTCATTAAATTAATAGCCTGGACCTGCATTTTCCTTGGCCTAATCCTCTTCTTCTCTTTACACTACCCTCACTCAAGTCCCAGTAACAGACTGAAGTATTTAGAAGACTCTGATTGGAAGTATCAGATTCTCAATTCGGGTAGACCCAAATCAAGAAATGGGTTCCGGGTTTTGGTCACTGGAGCTGCTGGATTTGTTGGAATGCACGTGTCCACTGCACTTAGGCAGCGAGGAGATGGCGTTGTTGGCCTTGATAACTTCAATGGCTACTATGAAAAATCATTGAAGAGAGCAAGAGAGGATTTGCTGAAAAGTAAAGATGTTTTTATCGTTGAAGGTGATATAAATGATGGTGTTTTATTGACAAAGCTTTTTAAATTAGTGAAATTTACACATGTAATGCATTTAGCAGCACAGGCTGGTGTAAGGTATGCAATGAAGAATCCAGGGTCTTATGTTCATAGTAACATTGGTGGTTTTGTTAGTTTACTTGAAGTTTGTAAATTAATGAATCCACAGCCTGCCATTGTGTGGGCATCATCTAGTTCTGTTTATGGACTCAATAAAAAAGTACCCTTTTCAGAGATTGATAGGACTGATAATCCTTCTAGTCTCTATGCTGCTACTAAGAAGGCTGGTGAGGCTATAGCACACACTTATAATCATATTCATGGTTTATCAATCACGGGACTGCGGTTTTTCACTGTTTATGGTCCCTGGGGAAGACCGGATATGGCTTATTTCTTTTTTACTAGGGACATATTGAAAGGGAAGCAGATTTCAGTTTTTGAAGGGCTTAATGGGTTTACTGTTTCGAGGGATTTTACTTACATTGACGACATAGTGAAGGGCTGTTTAGGTGCATTGGATACTGCTACCAAGAGTACTGGAAGTGGTGGGATTAAGAAAGGCCCGGCGCAATTGCGGGTTTATAATCTTGGGAATACCTCGCCGGTGCCAGTTAGTAAGCTTGTTAATATATTGGAGAAGTTGTTGAAGGTTAAGGCTAATAAGGTAGTGTCGCCGATGCCTGCAAATGGGGATGTGCTGTTTACTCATGCTAATATTAGTTTAGCAAGGAGGGAGCTTGGTTATAAGCCCACTACTGACTTGCAATCAGGATTGAAGAAATTTGTGGCATGGTATCTGGATTACTATAAACCATCCGGGAAGAAGAGTTCTGTCTAAATTGGTGGATCTGTGGTATGATCATTTGAATCTATATTTGATTCAATTCATGTGATTTTACACGCTTTATCATTTGTTAATTATTCATCGTTCATTTGGCTACACGGTGCTGTGACACAACGGGACTGGTCATTCTGTCCCCATATAGGAATTTAATGGTCTTTGTGCATGCCATGGACCTCCAGAACTGTGATGAGAAACCGGAAGCATTGCCCTTTCTCTTCTTCGTTTTTTTTTTTCTTTCTTTTTTCCATCAAGATTTTAGTCCTAGTTTAGGATTTTTTCAATCAGAATTCTGTTGCAATTGTTATTTTTGGTTTCATTAATCTTCTTTTACCTATTCTGTGTTGTCCATGTCAATTTATGATAAGAGTAGATAGATATAGTAATGTCCTTGTCTACTTTCCTCAGTTTTGCATAAATTATTAATATGTTAGGTGCAATTCTTGTTGTGGTTCTCAATTATGGGTGTTTTGGATGCGATTCTTTTTCTCCTTTTCTTTCTGGGTAACTGTTCGAAATTCTTATAACTGGTTGACGAGTCACATTTTGGCCGGATTTCACATAATCCTTTCCATTTCACTTTCCACTGTCAACGTCTTGATATGTTTTGGAAGAAGGCCTCGTTAAATCTACTTATAATGATTTTGTGTCGCACTTTTGGTTGAAACCTGCAATTTACAGGATGTTATAGTGAAAAACAATGTCTGTAATTGATGTTCCTAAGCAGAAAACTTCGAGAACCTTAACCAATTGGATATGGGGTCCGAATAGTAAAACGTTATAAAACATCATTTGAAAGAAGCTACATAAACGATCTGGTGTATGAATGGAGTAGTGTACACTCAGCTTCAGCTGGAAAAAGTTAAACAAGCCTGGTTAACTAAAACGATATGAACTCGCAAATAGAGCAAAGGGAACATCTCAAAGTCTCGTATCAACTCAAGAATCTTTAAACCATGTCATGTACTCAAGAATCTTTACACCTTATGTTCTCAAGAATCGTTGACCGTAGTGTTTATTGATGCTTTGGCCATCTTCCTCGTGTGTGCCTATGCAACGGTGTGTTATGGTTTCAAATTGGAGCCTGGATGCGTTGGTTGTGTTTCCACGTTCCATGCCCTTGTATTAAGCTGTGTTTGTTTCAAAGAATTTGTTGAAATTTTTGGCTAGATCGCTCTTTCTGAAAGCACCGAGAATGTATGTCTGTTTCGGATGGATGAACAGATGGAAGAACAAGGACCTTGATTCTTCTAGTTTTTTTTTTATTTGTTCATATGTTGATTTTAACAGTGTGCCGCAGGAATGACATCAAATCACTGTTGTCGATACCAGGGTGAGCATGTTAATCTATTGCTGATCTTTGTTCTTGCCATCAAGTTACCTGGATTTGCTAACGAAGAAGGCAATCTCCAACATATTTGTCATATCTCTTCAAGTTACCTGGTTTCCGAAAATGCTTGAACTCCAGCTTTCTAATTTGTCGTGGCAGTAAAATAATGTGCTCACCTTCCATCCCAGCAAAAGTTACAGTGCTTCAACTACCAATCTTAGCAAGATATTGTCCGAATCTCTTGTAAATGAGACCGAATCAAGTTCATTCAGCCATCTATAATTACCCTTTAAAAAATTATTTTATTTTTAAAATAAAAATTAGCATACTGTTAGATGAAAATAAAAATAATGGTGTTAAGATTTGTTTATAACATCAAAGTAAAACTCTCATTCTATGTTCTAGTAAATAAAAAAAATAAAAAAATCAATTTTATGCTATTAAAAAAAATATAGAACAAGTTTGTTTTTATTAAAAAAATAAAGTGGATTAATTCCTTTTCTCTTAGGTTACCCGTCAGTTATATAACTATGTTTTATAGAGCTAAAAGGCCCAAAGACTACAAAAATAATACTATTAAAAACAGTTTAGTCTAATCCCGGCCCGGCCCAACAGTTATACCAGACAACAAAAACCCTAACTCAGCAGCTCCGTGTATATTACAACCCTAAATTTTCACCTCCGCTTCATCCATCTCTCCAAGTAAAGAAAGCCGTCTCTGCCTTGGCATCTTCACTTCCCAAGCTTTCTGGTCTCTCTCTCTCTCTCTCTCTCTCTCTCTCTCTCTCTCTCTCTCTCTCTCTCTCTCTCTCTTAGTTTGTGTTTTTCATGTTCAATGCATGGTTGGTTCTAGCTAAAACCCATTTTGATTTATTTATGCATGATATGTTCAAAATCTGCTGGTTTATGGGAGATAATGAATCTTTTTTACTTTTGAGACTAATATCTGAAGAACTAGAAAGCGTAGGTTGGGGTACATCTTGAAAAAAAAAGCTTGTCGATTTTGTGTTTGGTGAATGACTACTTGAGTTTGCGTGTAACCCGTTTTTGATTTATGTTTGAGAAGTTTAATATCTTGTTAGTTTGTATGAGAAAATTTAAAAAGATAGAGATATGGTAGTTAATGGAAGAGTTGTTGTTGGTTTTTTTAAATGAATATGAAGTGGACGTGTGGTTTTGAATGGTTTTGTGCATTTTGATGGTGTAATAGAAAAGTGAAAGGAGAAAATGGCAGCAGCTTATGGAGCTATGAAGGCGCAAAAGCCGGGTTTGGAGGAGACTCAGGAGCAGATTCACAAGATCAGGATCACTCTTT